GGGAGAGGGCATAGCCCAGTGGCAGAGCGCATGCTTAGCACGCATGAGGTCCTGGGTTCAATCCCCGGTACCTCCATTAAAACAAAACAAAACAAAACAAAACAAAACAAAAAAACCTGACAAAGAAATCAATACAACATTGTAAACCAACTGTACTTCAATTAAAAAAAAAGTTCCCTTCCAAACTAAATTTTCTGAAAATCTTGGTGAGTTCTGTGTAGAGAGCATATTCCCATTATAAACAGTGGAGTAGTAAATTTCCTATATTTCTGGACTTAACCTTCAATTCAGTCATAATCACATGCCACTGACGTTGCTGATTTTTTCCAGTTACCTGTAAGTTTCCACAGTTCTGTATTCATTTTCTTGATGCTCTGGTTTAGGTGGTAAATGGACCATAGGACAGGTGCTGCAACATGCAAGGAATATGGCTTCCCTTGGGGTGAGGGGCAACACACTGCAAAGTTTCAGCAATGAACAGTTTTGGAAGATAATTCTACAGATGAGGGAGGAAGCTATATAAGATGGGCCTTTCTATACAAGTCCCCCTTTCTCACTTTGAATCCAGTTAGTCCAATCACTCTTCCTTACCTAGAGATTATCATCTATAGTTTGTTGCAAACCTTGAAGTATTCTGGATTTTTTTTTAATAAAAAAATCTCTTCCATTATATACTGAAACACAGATCACTACGGTTATTTTAAAAAGGGAGAAAGATACAGGTAAGCAAAGCAGATTGTGAAAGTCTGTCATACTATTTATGGCAGAGAGCAGACACTAGGGCCCAGAGCACCTAAGAACCACATACCCATTTTTCAACACCATGATCTTGCAAAACCTCAGGCTGTATTTTCCTTTTTTAAAAATACTCTACATCCAAACAAGGAGTTTATACAATTAATGCAGTATTTGAGCATGTAAAAGTACTCTGGGTACTATGTCTCCTTGGGCTTAAACTCTGCTTGAGTCAAATTATTTTTTGTATTAGCCAATACAAGACATAATTAGGATGGTAAGTTTTGCTGCCAAAGAAACTAACTAAATCCAATTACTATAAATAAGTGACTTAAAGCTAGTCACTGGTTTGAATTATCTTAGCAACTCTTCCTTCATTAACATAAAAAACAGCAAGTTAACTATATCCTGAAATGTAAATCACTAAAAACTCTGCATCTCTAATTTTCTCCAAATACTTATATAATAAATGAGCACAATACTGAATTTCATAAATGGAACTACTATATTTTGAAACTGTAAACTAAGTGATCAAATTAGCATTTCTCAAACAGTCCCATGGAATATTGTTTTTTGAGATATTCCTAAGTGTTCCACAAAAGAAAAATAGTATAACGATCAAATACATTCCAAATGCTGTCAAGTTAAAACAAGTGATGTTTTGTAAGAAGCCATCCCAGAGACCTTCATTCTTTCACTCAACAAATAATTTACTGAATGCCTACCATATACCAGGCACTGATCTGAGTTTTGGAGTTACAACAGTGAACAAGATAAATAAAATCCCTGCTCTTGTGGAACGTTCTTTCTGGTGAGGGAAGTCAATAAACAAAGAAGCAAATAAGTGAAATAACTGCAGCCAGTGATAAGAACTAGAAGATACTAAAACAGGTTAACACAGACTACAGAAGATACCGCAGACTGGGGGGGACATGTTAAGCTACATGGCTACTGTTTTTTGTTTTTCCACACTGGGGAATATAGAACACAGCATTTCCCAAACACATTGTGATAAGGAATCCTTCTGTCAATGAACATCTATTAACATTTCAGCGAATGAATTCAAGAAATGCCATACTAACCAATACACGGACAACAGGAGGATCAAGACTCAAATAATAGCTTTTCTAATCCTAAATACAGTGTTTCTAATCCTAAATCCCACCAGTGAAAGTGGAAGTAATAATAGTACATATCTCACAGAACCATTCTGAAAACTAAACTAGTTAATTCATGTAAAACACCTGACACACGGTTTGGCACACACTCAGTGCTGAATAAATCTTATTGTTACTATTAATACAATATCCTGCACATATCTTCCTCTGTCATCACAGGACAGACTTATTTTTCCCTCTTTCAGTATCTTGAACACTTTACTCCTAATTCTTTTACAGGACTTGATTCATTTTGTTCACTCCTCTATATGTTAGATCCCTTGAAGGCAGCAACTAGAACAGAAACTGTACATAGCATAGCCTCAACAGAAGCTTAAGCTTACCATGTAGTTGTACAGAATATTCAAAGTGGGTTAAATGTGGACGTAGGAAAAAAAAAGAAACTTTATATAAAAAACAATCTCCCCTCTGGCAAACTCAACCGATATTATACCAAGGCTTCCATGAAGCATCTTTATAATGATATATTTCACATATTCAAAATACTTTTATAAATTAACATCACCAGTAACGGATCATTTTTTTCCCAATAAGATGTTCTAAGACACCATTTTACTTCTGTGGCAGTCCTGAAGAAATGCATAATCTGTACTTTATTAAGAAAAAAAAAATCAGACAAACCCAAACTGAAAGATATTCTACAAAATAAATGGCCTGAACTCTTCAAAAATGTTAAAATCATAAAAGATAGAGACTGAAAAACTGTTCTAAATTACAGGGGACTAAAGAGACATAACAACTAAATGTAATATATAATCCTGGACTTAATCCTGAACTAGCAAAAAAAATTTTTTTTGCTATAAAGCACATCAGAGAAACAACTGGCAAAAGTGAGTTAAATGTATAGATTAAATAACAGCACTGTAGCAATGTTAACTTCCTGATTTTGATCATTTTATAGCTGTTTTATAAAAGAATTTCATTTCTTTTAGGAACTTCACACTTAAGTATTTATGGGTAAAGATGCATTATGTCCACAATTTAATCTCAAAAGGTCCCCCAAAAATAATATATGGATAAATATACAGGGAGAAAAAAATGATAAAGTGAATAAGGCAAAAGAACAAATTTGGGGTGAAAAGTACATAAGAATCCTTTTTACTGTTATTTCCGTAAGTCTGAAATTATTTCAAAACAAAACACAGTTTTGACTAAACACAAAAATAACAGGAAAAAAGGAAAGTAGCCACATGAAAAGATGTCCAACATTATTAGCAATTAGGAAAAATGTAACTTAAAACCACAATGAGATACCACTAAATCCCTATTAAAATGGCTAAAATGTAAAAAAAGAAAAATTTATCAATATCGTGTTGGTGAGGAGGTGGGGAAAATGAAACTCAAACATTACTGGAGGGAATGCAAAATGGTAGAGTCACTTTCTAAGAAACTTCCAAACTATTTTCCAAAGTTAAACATACACTTACCACATGGGACCCAACAATCTTAAGTACTAATTCAAGAGAAATGAAAACTTATATTCAAACAAAACCTGCATGCAAATGTTCGTAGCCATCTACTAATAATCATCAAACACTGAAAACAACTCAAATGTCTAATAACCACTAAATGGATAAATTGTGGTGCATTCATACAAAGGAGTACTACTTAGCAATAAAGGAATGAATTACTGATACATGCAACAACATGTATGAATCTCAAAAGCATTATGCTAAGTGAAAGAAGTCAGTCTCAAAGGTTACATGTTGTATTATTCCATATATACTTATGACTGTTTAAAAAGGCAAACTATAAGGATAAAAACAGATCAGTGGTTGTCAAGGCTGAAGAGGGGAGAAAAGGCTGATTAAAAATAGGCAGCATAACAGAATTTTGGAAGGTGATGGAATTCTTCTGTGTCTTGCCTGTTACTGTCTTTACACAATTTAATGCATACATCAAAACTCATAGAACTGTACACTAAAAAAGAATGAATTTTATTGTACATAAACTTAAAGAATACACATTTTTAAATTCACAGGGAAAAAATTATTTTCTTGGCCATTTTATTCCCAGTCCAGTAAAGACTAGGTAGGTTCTTTAACTTTCATTTTACAAGTGAGGAAACTGAAACACACACTAAACAAATGAGCACACAAATTACACATAGCAGGACCAAAACTATAGTCCAGATAACACTCATTCTATACATATGTTTTATTCTCTTAATTTTCTCATATTCCACCAAACTTTATGGGCCACGATGTCCCTGAAGACAAACAGGATGAAAGGGAGGCAGGGAAGAAAAAGACAGGTACTACAAGTGTGCCCTTTAGAATTTGGCCTTTGTTCTTAAGGATATTAAAAAATAGTCTGTAACTGAGGAAGTCTGAATCCATACAGACAACAAATTAATTATATTAAGTTAATTAAAGGATTAGCCCATGATTTCTTCCATAAAACCTTAATTTCTTTTTTTAACTTTTTTTATTGAGTTATGGTCATTTTATAATGTGTCAAATTCCACTGTAGAGCACAATTTTTCAGTTATATGTGAACATATATATATTCACTGTCACATTTTTTTTGCTGTGAGCTACCACAAGATATTGTATATATTTCCCTGTGCTATACAGGGAAATCTTGTTTATCTATTCTGCATATGCCTGTCAGTATCCACAAATTTTGAAATCCCAGTCTGTCCCTTCCCACCCTCTGCCCCCTTGGCAACCACAAGTTTGTATTCTATGTCTATGAGTCTAAAACCTTAATTTCTTAATGCTAAGAAAAGGCAAAAACAAACATAAGGCATTCACAGGTAACTTTGTAACTATTGCTACAATTTAAGCTTTACTTGGTCTTCAGAATAACACAGAGAACACGATGGTGACTACAATTCAGAACAGATTTCACAACTTTAAATAAACACTTAAAGATAATCCCAGATGCTATCACCTATCCCAGAATAGAAAACAAAGGGGAAACTTTAAAAATACCTTTTTGGTTTTCAGAATCAAAGAAGTAGCAGGATACTATTTGCCAGAGAACATACTATAAGTACAACAGCGAGAGGGAAAGTCAATTTCTTTAGCAAAATAAAATTTAAAAATAAAAAATTGTATCTGTACAACAAATAACATACTTCACCTAAAAACAGTGGTGTGGTTTCCTCTAAGGTAGTTGCATTAGGATCTGCCCCAGCTTCTAAAAGAATCTGCACAATCTTCCAATGTCCTTGACTTGCAGCAAGATGTAATGCACAGAAACCTTCAAAAGTCTTTGTCTTAATGTAGTTCTCAGATGAATCTATGAAAGAATAAAAAATTATCAGCTAGAAGATATAACTTCCGTTCCCTGCGATTAAAAAGCAAAGATTCCAAGAAGAATTTAATAAAATATTGAAAGACAATTATAAATGGGAGTTCTCATAGTTTAAAACTCTCTAGAAAATCAAGAACATGTTCTACAAAGGTCACAGTGTAAATAGCTCTCCAGTATTCTTAACCCACAAATTCTAACCACACACTCAGTTTTTCTTCTCTAATTTTTGGCAAGTGGGGGAAGCAGAGTGGCAGGAACTGAAAGGTAACACAAAGCAGGATTCAAAGAGGATCAAGAACCAGAGAGTTGCTTAAGCAAGATTTACTGAAATATTAATAAACTAGATTTTTTTTATTTCTAAATTTCCATGAGGGAAATGGTCTCATCTCTAGCATTACTTCCTTGTATTCAACTAACAACATGAAGGTAGTTTAAAATACTCCTTTTCTAATCTAAAACTACATTCTAGTCATTAATGAGGACTGCATTTCTAAAATAATAAAATGCACTCCAAAGAAATCAAACAGTGGCAAACAATTTGTATGGAACTTATGAGTTGATTTAAGTTTTTTGAGGCTTGCTATGAAAATCTTTGGTAACATTCAAATTATGTAAATAATAGCTACATTAAAGTTTTTTAACTCCACAGCAAAAGATAGTATTAGGTGACTTTTTCACCTTTGCTTCCAAAACAATAAAATTCTAAACCCACAACAGCCCACAACAGAAAGCTGGGCTAGCTGTAAGGTGAATGGGGAAGGCATTGCTGAGAGCAGTGATAAACAAATCATGTTTTAAGTAATTCTTGTAATTGTAACTCAACGGTGAAAGTGGCAGACTAAGTCATAATAATATTTAACTTATAGCTCGCAAGCTTAAATCAAGAAAACAGACTTCAGCTTTACAGGATACAGAACTAAATGGCAAGATAGGGTAGTTATATTTTAAAATTCTGTATCACAAAAGTGTTCCCCAGATTAGTCAGAAACTGACATTTATTCAGATATCCATAAAACTATAAGGTTAAGATGTGAAAAACTAAGAACACACAGAGATTTAGCTATGTACATAGCTCCCAAATAGAACATTTCAACAGTATAAAGATGCTGATTATTCCCCAAATAATAATAAATTCATTGTAATTCTAATCAAAATGTCAAAAAAGCTGGTTGTTGGTTGATTGGTTGGCTTTATCCTTGGAAAATGACTCAAGTTGATAGGGATTGGGGAAAGGCAGGTAAGAATAACAAAGAATTTAGAAAAATAAACAATGCAAATATGGAGGGGAGCCTAAACTTACTATTATACCATGTGTTAAAGTTAGAACTAGCAAAATAAACAACTCTTAATCATTGTGCTACGCTGCCTTATTCATCTAAGGATCTTCAGTATCTTGTTATCATGCCCAGTATAACAGCATAATATTTTCTTAACATGTATCAATAAACAGTACTATGAATTAGATCATATATTTGCCACACAAGTATTTGTTTACAACATGTTTTAATTAATTACAACATTTTAAGTGACCTTCAGTCAGCAGATGGTTTAATATTAAATGGCATATTAACTGCCACTGAAGATCAATACTGCCCTCCAAGATGATAAATTCCATGAAATCTAAGTACCTATTATACCAAACTTCCCATACAGGAAAGACAAGCAAATTGGCTATTTGTGCTAATACTTTATACAGAAAGCTAAAGTGAAGTATATACATACATATGTATATTACATTTCTAAGTAATCCATGCCACACTTGAATGTTCTCCAACTTGAATGAGAAGACCATGGATGGCAGGGGAAGGGTTTAGAGCTCAGTGGTAGTGTGCATGCCTAGCATGTACAAGGTCCTGGGTTCAATCCCCAGTGCCTATATTAAAATAAACAAACAAACAAACAAATCTAATTATCACCCCCACCAAAGAAATCAAACAAACAAAAAACTAATTAAAAAAATTTTTTAAAAAGAATACAACCATGGATGATTTCTAGATTTGGATTTAAATTGAAGACAGTAAAGCAAAGCCTTTCTAACCATTTGAGACTCTTTCATTATTTTTGTGTAGACGTGAGCACCTTTGTACTTTAAAAAAGTATGTTTTAGGACTCTCTGGCAGTTCACTAATACTAGATGAAATTCAAGGAAGTGGAAATTATATAGTAAAAGACACTTTTATGTACACCAGCTGAACCACAAGGGACAAGAGAATTATGAATCATATAAAACACAGGTATAGCAAGTATAAAGAATGACAGAAATGTCAAACTTGTTTTGGAAACTTCTAAGATTAACCCATAATACCAAGTTACCTGGTACAGATATAAAGATGTCATTGCTATCATTAAGCATAAGAGCCCTCACATCACTCTCAAGACTAGAAATATTTCTATTTCACCATCACTTTAAAGTACCTCCTTACATGTAGCTGTATGCTAGCTTGACTTTTTACGTAGTGGTCAACTACCACTCCCCACTGGTCAATATTTCTGAACTTTCAGAGACGTTGAAATTATAATCTTTTTTAAAAGGCAGGGGATCTGAATAAAGTATGGGCTTTAACTTACAAAAGGAGGAATGAGCCAGGGTATAAAGAAAAGATTTTTAAAGTGACCAACAGACCATATAGCCTTTTTGCTTCATTTTAGTTTGATTTTTCTACTTAGTGAATCAGATAACCATATGTTACAGAATTTTGGACATTAGTTCCAACTACACAGAACAACCAAACACATGGAAGACCAAGACCAAAAATGTCACTATCTCCTAAAATAAGTCATATAGCTGCTTCCTACCTTCTGTAAACTCTATCTCCTTACCTCTCACTGTAATCCCTGTGTATGCAGTACACAAATTAGGCTCACCTAAAATTTATTTCATAATAGTCAACTCCAATAAAAATCGTGAGAAAATTTTATTTGACCACTTATATCAACTATTCACACACTTAACTATGTCTGACTATCTTATCATCCAAAAACACCAAGCCTAAAAAAGTCATTAACAACGAAGGTGATATTTTTAATTTCTAAGAGAAAGCACAGATGACTTGAATAGCCAGTTCAAACACATTTAGTCAAAAGTATGCCTCATTTTATTCAACAGTTACAGGGGAAAAAATGTAACATAAACAACTCTCTTCTGAGGAGGGAAGAGACAACAGTATATCTGGAATGAGCTTTCTAACTAGAAATGAATATTCAAATTCATGCTTTTGTCACTAGAGATAGTTTGAGAACTCAATTCTAAAAACATGTATTTTAAATTTTGAGGCATAAAATCTATTTTTCTAATACCTTTAAACATTCCACTATAATAGACTCCAGAACATGCAATGTAAAAAGCAGTCACAACAAACTCCCTGTGTTATCATTTGGAGAATTCAGCCTTGCCATCCCTCATCCCTTAAAACAAACAACCACATCAAAAACCTGTAAGGATTGCTTCCTTTCCTATCCATGAGATAGTAAGTTAATAATTCTGGTGAGCTATGGCCCTGGAAGTCTACACTCTGAGCAGCTATATGTGGTGGTAAGTACACAGGGAAGAAGAATCTGAACTGCCATGATCAGTGAAACGTAAAAGGTCTACTGAGTGTCATAACATGAAGTATTACACTCAACCTCAGTTTAAACTGACTGAATGTTTAAAATGTTTATTCTGATTAAATGTTGAAAGCATGCTATAGTGGAAAAACATGGGCTTTAGAGTCAGAGAGAAATGGATTTGAATCAGATATCCTACTTTATAATGTAACTTTTGACAAGTTAACTTCTTTGAGCCTTTGCCTTTTCAATAACAGAACAGGAACAACACTGACTCAACGGCATTTTGTATGTTAGATAAATAATGTAAATCAAGTGTCTAGTACAGTGACTGCTACAAAGCAGTGCTCAATCACCATTAACTCTCTTCTCATGCCCCATCTCCTGGGTGCCAGACTCTCATATAGTCTCATTTACTGAGCCTTTCACCCAGTATTGTGCTGGCAAATATGTAACTGGCTCTCAGGGAGTGAAGAAAACCAGCTTATAGAACTGGTTTGTAGCACTGGCTGATTTCTGTGGTATAAACACTCCCACATAGCTGATCTCAACCTACAAGCATGAAGTCAACCAAATACAGAGTTGGAAAGAGAGGTGCATGATTGCTCTCTGTCCCATCACTCTTGTTGTATTTTTCCCACAACACTTTTGCCTTTTGAAATTATCCTGTTTAACTGTTTATATATTTATCATCTGTCCCCACTAACAAGAATATAAAGGCAGGGACCTTGTCCGTCCTGTTCTCTTCTGCATCCTCAGCAAACACGAAGTCAAAGTCATTGGAAAGAGTCTCAAAATTAAGGAAACTGAAAAGTTAAAAAAAAAAAGACTCCTTCAAGCAAAACACTCATTCTCAATTTCAGTAGCACAGTCCCTTTTCTTTGGAGAAGGGATAAAGAATAAACATGACCAGTAACTACCAAATACTTAAGATAGCGGACTACTTTTGCCGCATCACTTTGCTCAGACAACAAAAACAAGCCAGGCATAAGTATCTCCAGATAAAGGACAACATTTATAGATGTCCAGATGGAACACCATTGTCATATAATATGAGGTGGGCAATCTTACCACTCTTAATAACACAGAGGCAGTTACTGTATGGTTATAGAAAGGTAAACAAATACTACTGTTAATAAGTCACATACTACCATTTTTCTATGTTTTATTAATCCAGTTTGCAAACTTGGCCTCCCAGACCTTGAATTTACTTTACCTGCATGAATTATCATCTGCAAACATTCTACAGAGTTGTGATAAGCTGCTTCATGAATTGGCATCCATCCCCTGTTATCAGCAACATCAACGCTACGTCCCTTTTTGAGTAGTTTTCTTAAGACTTTGACATTGCCTTCCCTGGCAGCAAGTCCAACCGTGGAGCACATGTCAGAGTAAGCCTCTGTAAAATCCATCCTTTTGACCAGTCTATAAAACAAGGCAGAAAGAAAACACTAGTGTCAGTAAAACAGCACTGCACTCCTAGGGATGAGCTGATCACAGTGGTCCTTCCAGCACCTCTCTGGACACTGCCGGGGGAGACCCTGAGGTAGACACAGTCAGCTGCTAAGCCATAGCCTCTGCTAGTCTAAACCAGGGAGTCTCTCTGCTTGGGGGACTGGGACTCCTAAGAATGCTCTTATTAAAGATATCAAGGAAGTTTTAAGGGTTCCATCATTCCTTGTCCAAGCAGCTCCATCCTGCAGGCTTCTGCTTCTGTGGATACTCCAACAAAATGCACTCAATGGAACTCTGTTGAGGAGAGAACTAAACACCTTCAGTTAATCCCAAGTGTATATTATGCAGAGACGGCCATTTAACTAAAAGCAATGCTCAGCCTCAAGAATTAATTTTATAGCCCTCTACAGGAAAAAACTAAACCGAAAAAAGCTAGGAAAAAAGTGAAGGACATTTTTTGAAAAGAAGAAGATTAAGTAGAAATTCTAGTTTTTCTGCCCCTGCTGGTCCTTTCCAGAAGGAGCTAAACACTCAGGTTCTCTTTCCTTGATGAAACAGTCCCACTGACTGAATATACTAAAAGGAATAAAGAGCATCATAAAGAGATGGGTCCAGCTTTCCTACACTAGTCCAGAAAGCTTTTCAAAGCATTACTGCCCTCTTCCTCACAATCTCCCTTCAAAGTTCATCTCAAGTTCCCCTGGAGCCAGCGTCCAGTGTAGTTCAGCATATGACTCTTACAAGGACAGTTCTTGTTAGTCACACTATGAGGCAGGTTGGGCTAAGATCCAGGATTTTCAGGGCAACAGTAATCTCCCAACGGGTAGTCCCTCTCAGTAACACTTCGATCCCATCCTTCCTCTTAGTTTTTCTAAAGATCTTGGGAGGTAGTTCAGGAAATGCCAACAACATGGCTAGTCCAATACAGGTGAAAAACTTTCTAGAACCACATTCTAAATAATTTAATCAGAAAAGAGGTGTTTGAGGGAAGGGGTTAAAAGAAAGCACACAGTATTTCCTATAGTAAATTTAAACTTATCTATAGTCACATTTAAGTATAAAGCTGTAACTGCAAGAAGCTGCTTCTATAGTGAGCAAAAGAGCTAATGTTAGCTATGAATTAATCTGATTGGATCAACTGGCCCATTGCTAAGAAAGTAAAGATATTTATTACAGAACATTTAATTATTCAGCTAATAGTTATTTACTGAGCACCAATTAGATGATCAGCAATGTGGAGAATATAAAGATAACACAGACAGATTCTATCTCAAGTTATATACCGTCTTATAGAAATGATAAATACATGTGATTCAGAACAGAAAGCAGGAGTGTCATAAGAGAAGTACAGATAAAGAACCATGAGTAAGGAAGGGAGATACTCCTTCAACTTGGTGAGGGATTCGAGCTGGGCCTAAAGGAGAGGGAGGATGTAGCAATAACAGGCAAAAAAGGGCATTCCTAGGCAGAGGGAAAAATATACCCAAAATTATGGAAACAAATAAGCAAGGGTAAATGAATAATGGAAACAATTAGTTCACTTTGGAAGGATGATCAAGTAAACAAAGAACAGTAGAAAAGTGAGGTTATGGAGGTAGCTGAAGGCCAAACTGGAGGATCCTGAATGCTAAGCTGTACTGTTTTGAACTATACTACTTCTAGCCAAGGCCATTACATCCAAGTTTCACAAAATAATAACAAATCTCACATTTTAGGGCAATTTGTATGCATATTCATCTAACAGAAGAAAACTTCTTTCTACATAGGAAAACCACACACACACATGTAAGAATAGTATTCCAAAGACATTAAAAACAGCACTCAAGTAAAAACAGATACAAATTCTCTTCCAAATTTTACTAGCTTTTCTCACAGTTACAAATGATGTTAATAGATCCAGATTAACATGCAAGAACCTAAAAAAAATGAACAGAATTGGATAATACCTCTGAGCTAATGGGAAAGGGAAGCCAAAAGAAAAGTACTATAATAGCAGAATCATTCCCTTCAACCCTTAATACCAACTAGTTCACATGAATAAACTGTTAACAAGATCTCCTTTTATTAAAAACCTCCCTATGTTCTAGATGAAAAGAGAGTACAGAGTCTAACAACAGAATACATATAATGTAATAACCAAATACGTATATTACATAAACCTCAGGTGGATCTGAACTGGTAAACAAAGTATCAGCTCAAAAATCAATTCTGAGATGATTAAGGAAATCTGAATATGGAATAGACATTTGATTTTGTAATTATTGTTGATTTTCTTAGATGTGATAATGACATTGTGGTTATTAGGAGAATGTCCTTATTCTTAGAAGTTTCAGCAGTGAAGGCAGCACATGCAACTTGCTTCAAAAGTATTAGATTAAAAAGCATATACAGAGCGGGAAAAAAAGTAAAGCAACTATGGCAAAATGATAATTATTGGATCCATGTAGCATATGTATAAGTATATGAATGGTTGCTATACTCTTTTTTTCCAGCTCTTCTGTACGTTTGAAATTTTTCTAAAAAGTTAGGGGAAACTAACCATTCTAGGCAAAGTGAAACTACAACTTGGAGAAAATATTAAAAGATCTGGTTATTATTTTTTAACTGATAGCTGATTTACAATGTTGTGTAGTTTCTGGAGTACAGGATATTAATTCAATTATACATACATATAATCTTTTTCATATTCTTTATCATTATAGGTTATTACAACAAGATTATTAAATGGCTATTATACAAGATACTGAATACAGTTTCCTGTGGTAAACAGTAGGACTTTGTTGTTTATCTATTTTATATATAGTAGTTAGTATCTGCAAATCCCACACTCCTAATTTATCCCTCCTCTCCCTTCCTCCCCTCCAGGTAACTATAAGTTTGTTTTTTATGTCTGTGAATCTGTTTGGGTTTTTTTTCATATTTTCATTATAGGTTATTATAAGCCATTGAATATAGTTCCCTATGCTATACAGTAGGACCTTATTGTTTATCTATTCCATACATAGTAGTTTGTATCTGCTAATCCCAAATTCGTAATTTATCCCTTCCCACCCTCTCCCCTTTGGTAACTGTAACTTTGTTTTCTATGTTTGTGAGTCTGTTTCTGTTTTGTAAATAAGTTCCTTTGTACCACTTTTTAAAATGCTAAATATAAATGATATGATATTTGTTTCTCTCCATCTTACTTCTCTTAGTATGATAATCTCTAGGTCCATCCATGTTGTTGCAAATGGTATTACTTTATCATTTTTTAAGGCAGAGTAGTATTCCACTGTATATGTAAGACCTAGTTATTCTTAAATGAAGTTTTTCTTTTTGGCTTGTTCCTGCTGATTTCTTAAGAGTACAAATTACACATTCTGAACCTGGATGTTCTAACATTCTTTCATAATGTTAAAGACCATGAAAACATAAAAGCTCAAGAAAGAACAATCATTTGTTAAGGCTTCTGTTTTCACATACAGAATTATAGCCTTCATGGCTCAAGTGAGCTTCCTAAACAACATTTTGGAGCAGCAGCTCTAACCAGTAGATCAAAACATTTTTTAGGATACTTGATTCATTAAAGAAACTCATGAAAGCTATTAAATTTCTTCCCCCCAAAATATACACAGATCCGGAATTGTGTATACAATTTCAGAAGGTTCCATGTATGACTTCCAAATTCTATACAAGAGCTAAAAACCTTTGTCTACTTTTTTCTGAGTGAGCTCCTAAGCATACTAAAGATGAATTACATCGTTTCACACGGAACATTTAAATATGTAAGCAATTTTTGTTGAAATAATAGTAGCTCTTCTACAGGTACAAAATTTCTGCAGTAAACTTTGTTTTTATTCAAAAGGTAAAGTTTTTTTTAAGTAAAATCAAATACAGCATGCATTCCCAGCTTGTGCTCCCCCTGTATGCTGTTATATGGACAAAAATTCACTTTTCAAAACAGAACAAAATGTTTTCTACATGCCAACTGCGACGCCCAAATACACCTTGTCTCAGGATCTAGACCACACACCCACGACGCCTGCCCTTTCTCTACTCCTTCCCTTCCTCATTTGAAAACAGTAGACAGTTCCTGCCTTAGAGCCACAAATCCCAGAAAAGGACTGTGGGTACTGTAGTCTTCTGCCGACGCACACCGGAGAAAAGGTAGGAGAATTTATGGAGACTTCTGACGAATCCTCTGCTTAGTATAAACGAGGTCAATGCTTAATACCCTAAGCAAGCAAACAAAGTAATAATACTGACTCAGAGTAGGAAAATATTCCTCGAACTGCAAGCCCCAGTGTGCTTTGCGCCCCCACGTAAGGAGTGCAGCCTTTGCGCCTGCGCAGCCGGTTGCCTGCGTCCAAAAAGCTGTAGTCCCAGCCTGCAGAGACCACAGCCAACCGGACGGCGGCTGCGTCCGCTACAACCACCGCCACTGCCATCGTGGAGGAAGATCAGGGGAAGGATGTGGGTTTTTGGTTACGGATCCCTCATCTGGAAGGTGGACTTCCCCTATCAGGACAAGCTGGTTGGATATATCTCAGGCTACAGCAGACGCTTCTGGCAGGGCAGCACCGACCATCGCGGGGTTCCTGGCAAGGTGAGGCACCAGCCGTCCCCTACACTTACTGCCTCCGGAGCACTGCTCCTCAACTCTTGGCCCAGCTCCATGGGACCCACACCCCAACGTCAGGCACCGATCACGTAGGTTAGGGATGATGTGTTACATCTGTGCACCTTCCTTGGCCACCTGCCCCCTACTCTCTCCCAAGCCAAGCACACTCTTTCCAAAGCCGCTTGAGATGCTGGGGGTTAGTCCTTGAGGAGGTAAGAAATGTGGGCACAAGCTCGCACAAGGCTGACGTGCTAGGAGGGGGTCCCATCTCTTAGCAACCACTGCCCCCTCCTCCAAAAGGCAGGAGATAAGTTTTCGTGTCACCACAGAGGTGAAACACTAAAATCAACTAGCAAATTCATCTTTTTAGCAATTAAGTTTGTTGGCATTTCTGCATTCTGGCAGACTTTCATTGGTTTCAGTTTAAAGGTGCACGTTATTTCTGGGGTTTCTTTAAATCTTTCCAAAGATTTTATTGTATGACACCTAAGGTCACAGAACTAGTTTCCAAAATTACCTCCAGTTATTAAGGAGTTTACTTTGATCACATTGGTTGTCAGGTACTTCTGAAGTTAAATGAGTCTTGGTTTGTTACCTGAGTAACATAGTACCAATATCTTATCCAGCATTACTTCAATGTTTTTTTTCCTCAGTGGTTCTCCTCTAAATTATGAATATGAAATGTAAGTTCCCTGATCCATTTTTCAGTCATTCATTCAAAGACATTCATAATATATGTGTAGAGAAAGTAGCAGCCCACTGCTTATGCAAATCTGCCTTGCATTGGCTGCAAAACAACTAATCTGTAAGGAAAATTAAATTTGGTGTAACTGATAATTTTGATAAACTGAACACTTTTTATAGTTAACCTTCTAACTTTTAGAAGAGTAGAAAAATTTTTAATTGCTTATATGTTCTCGAAAATACTCTATAGAAGCTTGATTACCACCTTTTAAAAGACAATTTAATTTTGGTCCAAAGACACAATATTTAAAATGCTAGAAATCAGATACAGAAAGAGATTGGGGTTAATTCCAAAGAAATGTCTGTAGGCGTGCATCATGGAAAGGAGAAGAGAGTAAGGCTGTAGTCTGCAACTGCTCATAAATGAGACACAAGATTAAAACCAAAAAAATCGCAAAAAGTTGTAAGTGATTCTAGAGTCGATGAATTAAAAATTTGGCTTTAGGTAGACAAGATGACTTGAAAACAGGGCAGTGATTTAGGGCAAATACATATTTATAGGCCAACAGAAACTTCATGGCCGAAGTATCTCTAAGAATGTTATAAAACAGTATTTAAAACTTGAAAGAACTAAGTTAAATAAAATGCCTTTTGAGTTGTCAGATATGAGCACTTAAAATTGCTATTCTGAAGAGGAAAGCTTTAGCCCAGGCTTCAATTTTAATGACTTAAATTTAAATTTAATGAATTAAATACTTACGAATATGCTTATGGCATATTTTACTACTCTAGTCTCAACCAAAATGTTTATGTTTGTTACATAGCACACTGAGATGTGTACACTGTCAACAAACTTGTGATAAGAAACTGCCAAGTCACTACAACAGTTCATGAGTTTTTAAAAGCCAGCTATAAAAGGTAGCTATAAAAGCCAACATCTCTCTTTTTATTTAAATGTACTAAAATATAGGAAAAGTTGGGGAAAAACTGCAATGGCTAATAGTTTGACAGCTATTTTTATTTAAAGAATCCATCACAGCAAATTAAAGGAAAGCCCAGACACTACACATTTTCTAAGTCTACTATTCTGTTTTAAAAAAAAAAATTGAGAACATTATTATTTTACTTCACGTTTTTTTATAATGGATCACCAGCCTTATATAAATATTAACTGTCTGACAAACAAGAATACAAAAGGCTACAGAAATATCTAGCAAATTAAAAGAATGATATAGATGCGATATAGGACTGTGTTTTTTACTGTAACATATGCTCCTGGTGAGTTAATCATCATTACATATGAAATGTGGTATTATTAAACAAATATTAGTCTCATTTCCACATACTGCAATGTGACATTTATAGGAAAAATACCAAACCTACTTGCTTGACTAAATTATGCTTTCTTTTTAGCTTTATTAAACTTTTATATCTTCCTAAGTTTAATTAAAATCTCATTTATTTATAACAAAACTGGCAATTTCTCATCAAATTAAGGATTTATTTAAATGTGAAAATTTTTCTCATCAGAGAGAATATATTTCAATTTCAAAAAAAGAAAACAGTTTAACATGAGAGATGGTCATGAACATTTACTAAATCCCTAACTTTTCTAGATCTAGATCAGAAACATCACTCATTACCCAATCAAAGCACCCATCATTAGTCATATTTCACATTTTCCAATCCCTTTCAGTTTCCAAGACCCCTCCTTCAGTTTCACTGCCCCCCCAAAAAAACCATTTAAGTATGTTTGCAAATTTATATTGTTTCTCAGTAACATATTTATTTTAGGAACAAAGAGCTTAAGTTTTAGGAAGTATTTCTGAGTAAATATATCAGTAGTGCCAATAGTCCATGTCTGTATCATCCATAAGCAGTCACAGGAATCCATTTATTTTCCCTTAATGACTCCCTGTATGTACACTCTTTGTTTTCTGTTTCAACTGCCACCACCTACATCTAGGACTTTACCTCTTCTCCTTTCAACAATTACTACTGAGCACTCACATATAAGTGGGATACACCTATGCAAACAATACCTGATAAGTGCTGTAAGGAAGAATGAAAGAGGCAATGAGAGTTTAGAAGGAGCTGCTGTAAAGTCATCTGGGAAGACAGCCAAGCATTTATGGCGACAGTGGCAGGAGGATATCCAAGGGAATCTAAAGGAAGAGCATTCCACACAGGGTACTGGTATATCCAAAAATATGAATGTTTGTAAAAGTTATAAATAATTCAGTACAGCTTCAGAGGGAAAGTGGTAAGAAATGAGGGCTGTAGTTAACTCATGCTAAGGAACTTTTCTTTTAACCTGTAGAATATTACAACCCTGAAAAATTCAAAGCACAGGAGTAGCCTAATTTTTGCACTAGAAAGTCATTCTAGGGCCAAGTAGAGAACAGACTGGAGGTAGGCAGCAAAATCCCTAAGGAGGCAACTGCAGAATGAAGAGAATCCAGATTCAGAAGATGGGGCTACCAAGAACTGGTGACTGGGCTGGATGAAAAGGGAGGCAAGGAAGGGTAGAGTGCAGAACTTGCCACCTGGACCACAAACATTTCTTACTCAAAGTCTACCTCATTCCGACTCAAAATACTCAAAATTTGCATACTATACACTTTACCACGCTGATCTTCCCAAAAGCTCATCTTTTATCATGTCAGTCACCTACTATTCAAGTGCTATAGTAGCTCCTCATTTCCTATTTTTCCCAAATTTCAGTGGCTTATTTTCCACTGTTCTCTAATTTCAACTCCAATCTTTGGCTTTTCAAATCTGACTCTATCCTATTTCTCCAGTTATCTTTGTGAATCATCGTCCATACAGTGGAGGACCCTCTGCTAAAATCAGACACTTGTCCTGGTATAATCCTGCTTCTAGACCCTCACTCATAAATCATGAGTCACAGTGCCCTTTTGCCAGAATTTTGTCTTCCTTTCTGACCAGCCAAGACTCAGAATTCTTATTGCACTTAACACATACTATACATCATAGCCCTTAAGTATTCTCTATTTCACATGTAACTTCATATTCCAGAATTATAATATAACCTCTTAAACGAGAATCAAGGTTTTATCTTCTCTACAACACAGAGTATAGGTATTCAATAAATCGCTCCAAATTCACTTTGAAACTGAAGGTAATATGGCAATGACCCACACTGTAGTATCCTCACTGTAGCACTATTAAATAGAAAACTAGTCAAATATAAATGTCCAAAAAACACAGGAATGTTTATAGTTCATTGATGGTAGAATATTATGCAACTTTTAAAATGTATGAGAAGGCTAACAGGAAAGTATAATTTAAAAAAAAACATAATTCAAAATCCCATGTGTTCCATGATTATGAATTATCTATACCAATGAACAAAGACTAAAAGGAAATAGCAACAAAGATGACACAAATATCTGAAATATAAAGGCTCACTGTGTGCCAGACAATAGGCATATGAGAAGGTAAATTTATGGCTTGCAATTCAGCTTTCTCACTAATGATAACATATCAGGAGATACACAGCCTTTGACACCAGGTAGGAATTGTATTTTTTTTTTTAACGTAAATTCTCAGACAGCTCCAGACCTATAGAATCAGGAACTACTTCCAAGTAATTCTGATCTACACCTAAGTTTGAGAACCACTTCCCTATAGGGAAGCATGCTAAAATGTCATGTTTTGTTACCCAGTAAAACTGTAACAATCTTTTTTTTCTAAAGAGAAAAAATTGACCAGAACTTCTATTTATAATTACTTTTTGCTTTTGCTTTTCATTTTAGATGAGCCTTAGGCAGATACGTGTTTTTTAATATATCCATTCTAAGTGAACATAATATACTTATTACATACAAATTAAAGAGAATCTTTTAGGAAGACCAAGTTCGTTTGGATAAGGCATATTTCTCCTAATTCACTTTAAAATTTATCATAAAAATAAGTACTTTTCAAAAAGTGCTTAGTATGAGTATATGAACTTAAAATATTCCATGTCAACAGTAAGTTGCTAAAGCTCGGTTAGATAATGAACTTTAATTCAGAAAAAAAATTTTTTTTTTTACTTTTTTTTAAAACAGCCTGGAAGAGTTGTGACTCTTGTTGAAGATCCTCGGGTATGGTATAATTACTCTTTTTTGTATAGCCTTTAATCATAAAATGTTAAGCTGTTTCTCAGTTTTAATAATCAATGAAATTTTAATTAACAGTCATCACAGACAACTTGAACTACACTTAAGTCTAGAACTCCTGATGTATTTGCTGTATTTCTTTTCACCTGTTGGGAAAAGCTGGAATGCAGAATGTAAGGTAGACAGCCAAATAAAACCAATGGCATGTAGTCTCATTTTTTCTTTCTTAATGAGTTTGTAGACTGAGAATTTTGTGGTTCCCTTTGATATAAATGGAGCCAGCCCTCAGACAGCCAGACTACCACTAAGATTCAAATGGGACCCTTAAAGATCTCCTGACATTTGCTAGAAGTCTAATATTTCACCAAAAATTCCAGTCATGAATTATCACTTTCTTTATTGCCTAACTTTATCAATAACACAACAGGTTTCCTTAAAGGTTTGAAGCACTAGAAGACTTATTTACCTGTAGTCCTCTGTTTCTTAAATATTTTCAATCATTTTATTGAGGTATAGGTTCAAAATTTTGTATTGTGAAATTAAACATTTAACTTCAGAAAGGACTCTGATATATAAAAATCAAGCTGCTAGCAACAGCAAATGAATAACGTGAAATTATGAAATGCTTTCATTTACATTCAAATGGTAACAAACTCCTAATTGAAGTTAATAAAAGGCACTTTGTTTCTATAGAACGTTAATTCATTCAAGAAGATGCTTAGCAACCTGAAGTTTAATAATTAAATAATTAAAAGTTGTCAAGAAACTAGAAAATTTGTTACAAACTATAAACCTTGCTTATATCACATCTTTTATTAGTACGACCAAAAATCTTTATAGCTAAAGTACATTGCTTTTGCTGACACTGTTCATAGGCTATTTTGACAAAAAGACTGCCATTTAGTGTTCTGGATGAAGTAATTTACGAAGGATATAAGTCTGGCAGTAAAGAAATGAACAAATAAATGAAACTGCTATGGCCTTAATAGTATATTATTATTATTGTTGTTGTTGTTATTATTATTATTACTATGACGATGACAACGACTACTACTACTATATTACAGAGGTTTTAAAACACAGAACCCTTTCTGCAAACAGGGGAACACCTAATGCATAAAGAGATAAGTGATGTTCAACTCTAGCTGAAGAGGGTTGGGGGTCAAAGCCCTTGCAGCCAGCCCCCCAATACTTACATCCGGACAGCCCTGAGTTAGTCTTTAGGGTGGCTACAACACTCCATGAAGCAATTTGGAAACAACTGCCCTATACCATCAATGAGATGTTTATAGATTTAAAGCTTCAGAACTGTATTTTTAATGACCAAATGCAGGCCTGGTATTTTTTCTTCATTTCAATCTCGTAAGTTTACAATGAGTCCCATAATTTTAAAAATGTAAACAAAGATAAATATCCTGGTGTGCAAGAAAGTCATTTACTCAGATTGAAAAATTTAAAGTGTTGAGTTTCTTTATTGTTTAATATATACCTCTTCAGTGCACTTTCAGTGAAGCAAAACAGTGCTGATTTCTAAGGATATACAAGATACTTTCTTAGATCATAATATATCTTCACCTATTTTAGCCTTGTAAATACGAAATAATATATTATTTTTATTTATTTACAGGGTTGTGTATGGGGTGTTGCTTACAAACTGCCAACAGGAAAGGAAGAAGAAGTAAAAGCATACCTTGATTTCAGAGAGAAAGGAGGGTACAGGACCACAACAGTTGATTTTTATCCCAAAGATTCCACAACAAAGCCATTCGCTGTGTTGCTATATATTGGAACATGTGATAACCCTAATTATCTTGGTCCCGCACCTCTGGAAGAAATTGCTGAACAAATTTTTAATGCAGTTGGTCCAAGTGGAAGAAATATAGAATATCTTTTTGAACTTGCAAACTCTATTAGAAAACTTGTTCCAGAAGATGCAGATGAGCATCTTTTCTCTTTGGAAAAATTAGTAAAGGAACGTTTAGAAGGAAAACAGAACCTCAACTGCTTAAAAAGACCTAATCATTGACTTTTCCAAACAAGCAGAGTTTTAGTCTTCAGAAAACAGCTTAACAGTACAATGGCAATATAATTTGTAAATGTGTTTATCTGAAGATCTTATTTGTGTTTAATGTTGTAGTCAAATTATCTTCAAAATTTATAGTTTAACTGCAAGTGGCTTGAAGCACATATTCAAAATATTGGGGTATAGTTAATGAAAAAATTCAAGTTTCAATAATATAACGATTCTCCAATTATATGAAATTTAATACTTGCTCATGAGAAGTGAGTTCTTCGTTAATATAATGAGAGTATTTTGGAACCTGTTTTTATCTGAATAAATGTAATTCTGTTGTTTCATATCACAGTGCTATTTTGAAGTTGTTGAGAATTAAACCAAAAGTCCAGTAAATAAGGTTATACCTTCAATATCTTCCATACATTAACTCTGTAACCATGGTTTAAAATATAAAAGCTTAAAATAATGTTTAATTAGAAATGTACAGTAATGTAGACAAGATTTCAGCCTTGATTGTTAATTTCCTTGTTTAGGTATTAAATGAGACCCTTTCCAATTTAAGCCAAAAAACCCCCAGCATTTTAATATAAAAATTTCCTTGGAATTATAATGTACTATACCTCTCCTTTTTGAATAAATTTACTTTACTACATGGAAAAAAACCCTTTCAGCTAAAAAAAAGCACAAATTACATTATACAGATCACTAACAGCGTAGTCTGTCCTTCACTTTGTATTAATCTTATACTGAAACTTAGAAAAAAAAAAGATGGGCTTTTTTACATTACAAATTAACAGAAATATATATAATGAAAGTTTGGTGTTTGAAATGGCCTTTAGAATTTTAATTTTTTACAGTAAGAAGTGGCATTACCTGATCGTTTGCTACACAGCTTTTTTTTTTCCTTCTTATATCTTGTCACCTAACAAAGGTATCCACTGAATAGTGATGATTCTACTCAAGTAGGAAACATAAATGCACATTATTAACTCAGGTAGAAGTAACTTTGATTCAAACTAGTCAGATTATTTATTATAGGTGATTTCTTTTTCAGCAGGATATATGGTCTCTCTGAAATCTTTCAACATGAAAAGAATTTCAATATCACATTAAATCTAACATGAAACTAATAATTAGTATAGAGGTTTTTCACATAAAATAAAATAAAGCTGGGTTCACAGTTTTGAAGGCACTAGCCTGCTGTGAGCCCCCTTTGCCAGACAAAGCAATAAAATTGCCTCTTTTCTCCTAAACTCAAAAAAATTACAATAATAAAATAAAATATAAAATAAAATAAAATAAAGCTGTCCTACAAAGTGGGAACAGTAGTCTTTTTCATGTTTTTTTAAATTTATTCACACTTTACTTGATAATTTACTCACCTACATAACTATTTAAAATATTTTCTGGCAGGGAGGGTGTAGCTCAGTGGTAGAGACCATGCTTTGCACAAATGAGGTCCTGGGTTCAATCCCCAGTACCTACCTATTATTATTGAAAATAATAATAATAATTGAAATAAATAAATAAACCTAATTACATTCCCCCCCAAATTTTTTTTAAATAATAATAAAATAAAATATTTCCCAACATTTGAATATTAGCTTTCAAGAAGGCATTTCATTTGTCCTGTACAACAGGAAGGGTACACTAATACTCATTAATGAATGTCTCATAAGGATGTACTAGGAACTTTACACGTGGAAGCATCCTCTGAGCTTGTTTCCATAGTAACTTGCCCAGCTACATATCTAGTAAGTAGCAGAAACCTGTGTCTCTGCTAAAGCATAAGATCTTTCTACAATATATTTAAAAACCCATCTTCACTATCCTGCATCTTTTTTTCCAGGAGGTAAATTAGATAAACTTTTTTTATAATGAAGTAGTATGTGACTTGTTACATAGAGATGTCAATTATGATAGATGCATACAAATTCCCACAAATATAATAAGCCTATCCAAGATTCACATAACATAGGTCAGAATCACACAGGTGAATTCAGAGATCCAGCCTTTCATTTTACAGACATACCTACGTCAAAAGGAATTTGTAACTCCCCAAAGTGATTCTTCTTCCATTTTATATATAATTATGTTATGAAATATCAAGGGGGGAGGATTACTTTGGGATTCCCGTTTGTATGTCTTTCCAGGCTTTCACTGAGAAGTCAGACTAGAAAATACACATATGGTATACCATCATTTACAGGGAGACCATGTTCCAAAAAGCCCAGGGATAGATACTCATTTCCCTGGGATGGAGAAACATGACTAAAATGGACAAGTTAAACAATACTGAATTAGAGAAGCTAGGATTGGAGCTTCCCAACTAGCAAGAATCATGAAAGTACTGAGTTACCTACAACATAATTTACTTTTGTCAGCAAAACTGTAAGTCTCTATAGCGTTTGGACCTCAGTTCCAAACCATTCTCTCTCACTGTGCTCTCATCACACACACATAACTCAGACTGTCATTCCTCAGAGAAGAGATGTTAGTCAGGTGTTAAGTTTTAGGAATCTAAGAAAAGTATGAGTGTAAACCCTACACTGAGAAAAGAAACTTTTTTTTTTGAAATACAAGTGATATACTGATTTGCTTTTAAAATATTTAATGGAGGTGAAGAAATTTAAAATAGAGGGTATAGGAGAGAGAAGCAAGATGGCGGAGTAGAAGGACACTTGTAGCTCACCCTCCCCTACAAATACACCAAAACACATATCTACGGACCTACTCAGCCAACCAGAGCACCTGCTGAACTCCGACAGAACATCGCCCTCTTCGAAAGACAAAGACGCCATAAATCTGGTAGGAGAAAAGGAGAAAAGAAAGGAGAAAAAGCAAAACAGTGTGGGAACGGTCCCAAAGGGACAGTGCAGCAAAGGAGGGCTGGCGCTCATTCACTGGGTCTCTCCTCTCCAATGGAGAGGCCAGTGGGACTGAGGGGGACCTCCGAGGCTCAGATCTGCCCCGAGCACCCCTTGACCGACAGAACTGAGTTTAACGGGTACAAAGGGTCCCCACGACACCCAGCCCGAGATGCAAGTAGGCAGCTAGGGGCCGGGACAGGCTGCCTGAGCTGGGCGGAGGACTGGGGCAGCTGCACTGAGGCAGCCTCAGGGGACTGCAGGGTGCTGCATGATGTGGCTAGGAGGGGATACAGAGCAGAACCATCTCAGTCCCCCATAAATTGCAAAACAAGCAAAGCAACACTGCTGGTGTGCCCTGGGGAGAGGGACACCATAGCCTTTGTCTCCTCAGACCTGTGCCGCCATTACTGGCGCTTGTCATGAGAAGAGAGGCAGGGCAAAACCACAGTGTCATAGCCTCCTGTGTGCAGCGCCCAGGCGGGAGCAGGGCTGAGCCCTGAATCTGCACCCAGGGGCTCTGAAACCTCCTAGGCAGGACTGAGACTTGTTTACAGCCCGAGGCAGATAGGATCTTTCTTGCGCTACCAAGACAAACAAGGAGCTGAGATTTGGCACGGGGCAGAGGCAGGGCCGTTCTGCGGTCTTCCCTGAGCCCACCTTCAGAGCAGCGACCCGAGGTGGAGTGGGCAGCTACACAGGGCAGCGGAGCGACCAGAGCTGGGAGAGGGCGGGCAGCCACCTGCCTTCCTGGCAGGAACTGCAGCACCTGACCACGGTGCTGGGAGGGGGCACGATCCGCCCACCTGCCTCACCCGAGCGCAGCATCTGACTGTGACATCGGGAAGGGGGAGTGACCCGCCCGTCCACTGGGTAAGAGCTCAGCACCTGACCCAGTGTTGGGAGGGGGTGCAATCTGCTAGCCAGCAGAAACTGGAAGCAGCACAGATGAGGGCATCAACAGAGGGCCTCTGGAAACAGCAAGTTGAGTTCGAGAAACAGGGCAAAGACACAAAGACCTCTTGATAAAATCATTAACAGCACACCATCTCCAGGAGAACTAGATAACTGATACTCCTTAAGCCACAGTGCCAGATATGAGCAATATGAAGAAGCAGAGGAACCACTCCCAATTAAAAGAACACGAGAAATCCCCTGAAAGCACAATCAAGGAAATAGACATTGATGGCCTACTAGATCAAGATTTCAAAAAAGGACTGATCAAAGTACTGAAGGAACTAAAAGAAATAGTGTTTAGAGATATAAAATATGTCAAAAATGAAATAGAAGCCAAGTACAGGAGGCTTGGAGGGTCCCAAACAGGAAGAACCCAGACAGACCCACATCAAGACATATAATCAAGATGGTCAGAGTCAAGGGCAAGGCTATTCTTTAGAATAGAAGGAGAGATAAAGAACTTCACAGACAAGCAAAAACTAAGGGTTTACCAACACTAAACCCATGCTAAAAGAAATATTCACAGGTCTACTCTAAATAGAAAAGAAGCAGGATGCTACAAAAATGAGAAACTCATAACTGGAAAGGAGATAACTACTGTGAATTACAGAAAGAATAAACATAAAATTGTAAAAGAAGACATCTAAATCATTAAGAGTGGGAGAGGGAAGCAAGGAAAGCCATTGTGGAAAACAGTATGGAGATTCCTCAAAAGACTAGGAATAGACTTACTGTATGACCCAGGAATCCTGCTCCTGGGCATATATCCAGAAGGAACCTTACTTCAAAATGACATCTGCACCCCAATGTTCATAGCAGCACTATTTACACCAATAGCCAAGACATGGAAACAGCCTAAATGTCTATCAACAGATGAATGAATAAAGAAGATATGGTATATTTATACGATGGAATACTATTCAGCCACAAAAACTGACAACATAACGCCATTTGCAGCAACATGAATGTTTCTGGAGAATGTCAGTCTAAGTGAAGTAAGCCAGAAAGAGAAAGAAAAATACCATATGAGATTGCACATATAAGGAGTCTAAAAAAACAAAACAAAACACAAATACAAAACAGAAACAGACTCACAGACATAGAATACAAACTTGTGGTTGCCAAGGGGGCTGGGGGTAGGAAGGGACAGACTGGGATTTTAAAATGCAGAAGAGACAAACAAGATTATACTGTACAGCACAGAGAAATATATACAAGATCTGGTGGTAGCTCATAGGAAAAAAAATGTGATAATGAATACATATATGTTCATGTATAACTGAAAAATTGTGCTCAACACTAGAATTTGACACAACATTGTAAAATGACTATTACTCAATAAAAGAATGTAAAAAAACGAGGGTATAGTATCTTAGGGCACAATATAAATAGCTTATATGACTTTGGCAGGAGAAAGATCTATTAGATTAAGTGAGAAAAGAAACTTTAAATATAAATATCTAATGGGTTGGATTTTTAAAATCCTACTCCTACTTGGGGCCACTATTATACTTCCTTTTCACACTTTCAAACAACATATTCACTATTCAACCTACCAAGAACTGTAAGCACTATCCAAATACCACCTCCATACATTAATTGTTATCATTCAGGGAAACAAAGGTTGCTATGATGTCAACTCTGAATATCCAAAAACATGAATGTGACCCATTTCTTTAAGACTGATTTTGAAAGTTTCACCTTTGCCTATAGATATGGATTTCATCTTAAATAGGAAACTCTCTTTCATTTCCTACTGAATTGTTTATTATTTTACCTGACTGTGTATT